TTTGTTTATTATTTTTTTTCTTTCTAGGGGTGTTTTTTTTTCTTCTCTCTAGGGGTCTTTATGTTTGTTCCTTCTCTTGTTTGTCGCTGTGGTTGTTGTGGAACTTATGTACATTTCTGTCACTGTCGATCTTTTACAGGTTGATTCGTCGGTTGTTCAGTAACTTCGGTGCAGTTCTTTGTCGTCGGCGTTGGAGTTCGTTTCAGTTCACCCCTTCTGCAGATTTCGTTCGGTCTCTACAACATGTCTGAGGCAATAACGGGAAGGGCCCCGCGGAGTCCTCCTCGGCAACGGGGAAAAGGGCGGAGGGTAATAGAAAAGGTTACAACACGAAGACCTTTGACTCCCCTTTCAATGTGGATCCAAAGGCGGACGAAAAACGAGATGATCCTGTTTGGCATTTCGTTACTCGTGGTCGTTATTTAGATGAATCCACTGCGGTCGGGAGGAAGAACGGTCGCCGTTGTTTGTGCAGGTTATGAGGTCGTTCTCTATGTGGGGGTATAGATGCCCCGTGGCGACTCCGGAGGTGTGGCACACGATTTGGTCTAAGGATATGTCCAAGTGTCCTGCACATTTGGCTTCTGCCGTGCAGGCCTTGCAGAGTCTCCCTCTAGGTCATCCCTCTTTTCAATGGCCACCTCTTCGTTTTCCCGAGGACGTCGTTCCGCCGCCCCCGTCGACCGCCGCCCCCTCACAAGTGGCGCCATCTCCATGTGCACCACTTGCTCCCCTCCCCCCTCGTCCGGCGGCAGTCTCACCTGCGCCGCTTCGTCAGACGATTCCCGCAGCCGTTGATGGCAGACCATCTATGGCAGCGCAGCATGATGCGCAAGGCACCCTGCCAGTTTCGGGTGTCGGGGAACCTGTGCCGTTTGACGAGCAAGGCACTCGTGCTTTCGCCGAGGGAGATGGGTAGGGGAAGGGCGCTGGCACATCATCCGGCCTCGCCCCGTTGTTCACTGGTAACAGGGACAAGGTCCCAAGAGTTCGACACGCAGACACACGTCCGGCCGTGGCAGGAGCACTCGCAACAGGACATCAATCCGCTGCGTATCCATGGTTGCCTCCCCCTCCTTCGCAAACACGATGACCTACACCAGACTTGGCTTCGGCACCAGTTGACGAGGCCGCTGCAACGGCCTCTGAGGGTGCGGGAAACGTCCCGCTCGACGAGTCCGTTCAGGTTTCGGATTCGTCACCCACTCTTGTGCCCGTGAACGGCCCGACCTCGCARCACGGTGTTTTTGGGACACTGGATCCTTTACAAAATCTGCGCAACATTGCAGCTCCATGTCTAGGCCCTACCGCATCACCTGAGGCCGGGGGCGGGGTGTGGGATTCGCTAGGTATGGGCGTCGGTGCACGAGTGAGAGGCACTTACAGGCAGCAGGCGGTGACCTCGTATTACAACGACCCGCTAGAGCACGCATGACACCTGCAGATCATGCGATTCATTGTCGAGAGCGGCATGCCGTTCAACTGTGTGAAACTTGAGAGCTTCAAACGCATGTTGACGTTGATCATCCCGCCAAGGGTTCCAGGAGTCCCTACCCCAAAACCCCCAACGTATCACATGATCCGTACCACACTTTTGGATGAGYTTGATGTGGAAGTCCAAAAGTGTGTGAAACCTATCCTCGCTACTGCAGCTACCTACGTTTGCACGATTATGACAGACGGTTGGACCAAAATTCGGGGCCAAACGTTGTGCAACTATCTCGTCGGCACTACACGGGGCGCCACATACGTCGCGACAGATGTTATGCGAGGAAAGAAGGATGCCACTGCTCTCGCTCAGGCTTGACTGCGAAGGTTGAAGTCCCTTGACATCAAGCTCGCTGACATGACCGCTTTCCTCACAGACTCTGCCAGTTCGAACGTTTCTGCGATAGAGGTGTTCCAGAAGGATGAGAGTRTCAAGCACATCTTCTGGATTCCTTGTGTGGCACACGTCATGGACCTCATCCTTGAGGACATCGGCGACATTGACTGGGTGGCGACCCGCATTGCTCAGGCGTGTTTGGTCACAAAGTTTTTCAAGCGTCATAACCACGCTCGTGAAGTTTTGCAAGCTTTCACGACGAAGGCTCTGCTGCTTCCTGCCGAGACTCACTTCGGTACGCATGTGATTATGATGCGACGACTTCTTCTGTTGCAATCGTATCTTATGCAGGTGGTCGTTGATGATCGATGGAAGGACACTGTTTGGTCAACGAAGAAGATTCGAGACGACGACGCGGTGGTCACAGCATGTGTCGGTTGTCCTCAATGGTGGGAGGATATGAGAGCGTTGTGCAAGTTGTTGGATCCCATCATGGACATGTTGCAGATGGTGGACAGCGACACAAGGCAGATTGGCAAAATTTTGCGTCGGTACGACGAGATGATCGTGCGTTGCTTGTCTGCATGTGCCGCTTTGGAGAAGGACGAGCAGGATGTGCTGCTTGAAGTGTTTGACAGACGCCGCACCATATTCAAGTCGCCTGCTCATGTTGTTGCCATGATGTTGGACCCCGAGTTTCGAGACCGCACGATGCCAGATGACGAGGAGATGCAGCACGGTTTGAAACTCGCTCTGATTCAGTTTGGGTACCCGGAACATTCGGATCAGTACAACGAGGTCCTCACTGTCATTGACAAGTTCCATTCTAGGGAGCCGCCGTTCGACGACGTGGCCATGGACCGGGCGGCGAGGAACTATACCCATCCAGCCTGTTTTTGGGAGTCAAAGGAGAAGAGGTTCCGCACACGGCCTTCTTCGCTGGCAGGATACTGCGTGTGTGGGCGACTGCATCGCCTTGCGAGAGAGCTTGGTCCCGTTGGAGTTTCATCCACTCCAAATCTCGTAACAGACTGGAGGTGGCGCGGACCGAGAAGCTCGTGCAATGCCATTGGAACCTTCGGCTCCTCGACAGGCAGGCTATGTCGGACGATGCTCCCAATGACAGGCCACATCCGTATGGGAGCTGGGTGCACTACTGGCAGCAGGTGGAGGAGGAGGTGCCCACCGACCAGCAGCTTGTGGCAGACCGAGGAGCCCGTGTGACGGTCACGAAGGAGTTGACGCAGGCGAGAGAGAGGATGGGCCGTGTCCCGCATGGGAGTCACTCGTCGCTTGCGGGAGTCTGACAGGAGGAGGTGTCATGGCGGCGGTCGCGGAGATGGTCGTCGGGGCAGTCGTGGGCGAGGCGGGCGTGGAGGTCCTGGCGGGAGGCGTAGTGTCACGAGTCGTGGAAGGGCAGCGGACGAGCTAGTACGCAAGCCTCGACAGCGATGGGATGAGGGAGACTTTTTGTACGAGAGCTCGTCCAGCGATGACGAGGATTTCTTCGGGACTGGCAGGCCTGCACAGGATGGCGACAGCGATTTCGACGACCGTCACCCGGACGTGGACGACGATGATGGCGCCAGTGGCGATGATCACAGTGACGGAGGAGATAGGCCACGACCTGCACATGGTGACACGATGCACGACGACGGGGCAGGGGGCGAGCACCGCACAGCACTAGATGACGCTCAAGATGGAGTGGATGATAATGGTTCACTACCTGTCCCGGGCGGTGACCTGAGGCGCTTGAAATGCGGACCAAGGGAAAAAGACACTATCGCCTCATGTGTGCGCAAACGTCATAGTGGGGTTGCTAGCATTCCACTAGCATGAGTCCCCGCAACTGAGTAGATTCCAGTTTTCGATGACTCTTTCAGCGATCACAGCGGCGAGGAGCGGATCGAGCTGCATGGCGGGAGCGGTCATCCACGAGGTGACACTTCGAGTATGCACGCGACAGCTCCGATGGGGCCTTCCGCAGCAGTCCCACAATCGCAACAGGGTCCAACACCGTTGATGCGTCATCCCGAGGTTCAGGAAGAGATCGGTCCTCTCCCGACAGTGCGGGACGAGGGTTCTGCCGGTGCACTGCATCCACTCACTTCTGCCGGAGCGGCAGTCTCAGTTGCAGCGACCTCGGATGTGGGACAGCCACTGGCAGCGGCGGAGCAAGAAAGTATGCTCCCACCTCGCAGTGTTCAACCCAATGTATGCAGGGAGGGGGTTCATATGCAGCGATCAGGCACGCACGGAGGCGATGTAGTCAACACTGTACCGCGGCCACCGCTTGCATTGATGGAGGGGAGTCAGGGAACCGTTGCTGTGTGTCTAGGCGACGATCTCCCAGAACGTGAGATCTCACACACTCCCGCAGCCGAGCAGAGCGCCGCAGGCCATGTCGGCCTCGCATGCCCCACCGGCAGTCTTCCGGGTACCGGCGAGTTACTGACAATGGACTTCGCGCTCGTTTTTCTACCGGACTTGTCGACATTGATATCCCCAGGTCTACCCCATGTGTCACCGCCCAAGACACAACAGCCTGTCGTCATGGAGCGTGGATCAGACGGGTTTGACGTGGCAGAAGGCGATATCGCCGATATGATTACGAGCCCAATGGTGTCTGTCACGCCCACGATTTTTCGTGTTGGCAAACCACGCGAGGTTGCCCTTGGTTTGGCGGAGACGGCGACGCGATACCACCGCGACGGTCAGCGCAGTATCGCACAGCGCAGTCTTTCTCATTCGTTTGACGACGCAGAGGAAGGGTCTCCTGGTGGGCCAGTTGACGCAGTCGAAAGAGAAGCAAGACCCCCAAGTCCGCCGTCAAACTCAGAGCATCATCCGATTGTCGCGGCTGTCGGCGCAGATGCGGGCGTACCCGTCGCAAACACTTTGGACGCGACAGTACAGCCTGTGGTTGGGTCATCGCCGACAGCACGGCGCGACAGAGCTACTGTTTTGCCGACAATGACATTCTATGCCAGGGGGAAGAGTACTGGGGAGATGGATGAGCAGGGAGTCCGGAATGTTGGCAGGCCATCTGCACCGTCTATGGGGACACGATCCATTGAGAGTGTGGATGGTGCTCGGCATACCGCCATGGCAGAGTTTGAGGACCGACACGGGAGTGCTTTGCCGACGAAGACGTCTGATGTCCATGCTATGAGAGTCGTGAAGGCGAGTCTTTCTCGGGCAAGGAAGAAGGAATCGGCAAGGAAGGCGTCACGTTCATCCTCACATATGCGTTCCCGAGAGAGAGGATCGGGCGTTGTGCATCTCGAGGAGGGAGAGATTGCACCTGACGGCGACGCATTGGATGTTGGAGGGAGGGATGCAACGACAGCGGATATCGTCGCCAGGGAGGGCACAGGGGATGCAGTGGCAGGTCAGAAGAGACGCGGCAGTGTACTTATCGTCCACGACAACAGCACGGATGTCGCCCCGGGAGAGCCCACAGGCACTGATGATGCAGGGGACTTCGATTACGTACCCAAACCACGGGCGGCAGATGGAGATGATGGAGGAGGGCGACGAGTGAGACCGAGGACACGACTCGGGCCGCAAGGGCAGCGAGCACAGGGCACACCATCCGCGATGATTCCTGCCCCCATAGATCAGCAAGCTCAGGCGTAGCGGTTGCTGCGCAAAATGGAGGTCACTCTTCAACAGACACACGGGTTATCGCTTGACCGCGAAGAGACGGAGACTCGGAGAGGGAGAGAGGGAGGGAGAGAGAGAGAGAGAGACATACATATATATATACATATATATATATATATAGAGAGAGAGAGAGAGAGAGAGATTTATCAGATACTTGCGCTGGCTGCGTTGTTCGAGAAGCAAGCCCGGGCTATCACTAGGATGGGAAGCCATATGGCCTAGGCCCGTAGCATGAGAGCCTATAGCCGGGCAGGCAGAGACCATTAGAAAATTGCTTCACTTCAACTTGTTGTACTTTTATTTTGTTACCCTCGCAGCCTCGCATCTTCACAGCCTCGTAGCCTCGTAGCCTCGTAGCCTCGTAGGTATCTTATTATGATTGGTTGTTGCCACTTATTCGAACTCCTGGGAATCTTGGGAGTATTGTCTGAGAGAGAGAGATTTATCAGATACTTGCGCTGGCTGCGTTGTTCGAGAAGCAGGCCCGGACTATCACTAGGACGGGAGGCCATATGGCCTAGGCCCGTAGCATGAGAGCCTATAGCCGGGCAGGCAGAGGCCGTTAGAAAATTGCTTCACTTCAGCTTGTTGTACTTTTATTTTGTTACCCTCGCATCTTCACAGCCTCGTAGCCTCGTAGGTATCTTATTGTGATTGGTTGTTGCCACTTGTTCGAACTCTTGGGAGTCTTGGGAGTATTGTCTGAGAGAGAGAGAGA